CAGCGTGGCTCAGGATTGGAAATCCTGGAATCCCATTACAAATCGTCTGCGTGATTCTGCCACGGGATTCTCAAATTCTGATTCTCATTCTGGAGTTTAGTTAGTTGAAGGACATTCTGACAGAAGTACAACATTTTTGTTTTCTTTAATTTCAATTAAATGAACACGTTCAAAATTATTACACCTCTCCCTCTTCCCATTTTCCATTTTATCACAATTCCTCGATTAAAAAACATTTCAGGCCCAAGTAATGTTTCCACGCGTTATGCATCGCATTTGCGCGGTTTTTTTTTCATTATATATTCCTAGCGTCTGGCTTCAAACACGCGAACAAACAAACTTCCACGAATATAGAATAAACTATAATTTGAGCGTGCATATACTCCATTATTTTCATCAAATGCTTCCGGGGTTCCGGCCTGCGGTCGATTTAAATCCGCCCTGAGAACCGCGGGGTGGAAAGTTGACAGACGGAGACGCGTTCGCGCAGGGGCGGGAGTAACGGCAAACTGTGTCGGACGAAGGGTTTATTTCTGGGTCTTAGACATGAAAAATATGCTTGACCGCTTTGGGCTAGCAATTGTCCTCACTACAGCAATTGTCCCGTATTTAAGAGAAATTCAATTAATGTCAGGAAGTCAAGTTGGACACGACTTTTTATTATGAGCGAAAATAATTATTTCTGAGAATTAAGAATGTTTGACTCGGCATAAAATAACACAAAGGTTGACCTTGTCTAAACAAACGCGGTCTCTCTAATGCTCTGCATGCAACGAAAATACTCGCAGTTCCAAAATAAAAGCACCTCAAAAAAATTAAGGATAGCTGAAAAAATACAATTTTATTGAAGAAATTTCACGCATGTTCTTTTAATTTAATTTTAACTCTAACAATCTTCGTATATTTTTTATATTCAGTACTGCATGAGAGTTCGTTATACGAACCATTGAGTAATGGAACTATGCAAATAAATAAATAAGTTGTTAAAATTTTTTAAATTCAAGCGAAAAAATTATACGTACATATATTATAACTAGTAGCAAGTTAGCGTAGATTGATATTTAAGGCAAATTTTCGTTAACGATTATCATTTCGTTCGATAATTAAAGTATTTCACGCGACCGCGGATTAATATATAATTAATCATTCAGGATATCACTGGAGTTTCAGGTCGGCATCAACATAAACCAGTGATATCCTATAAATCAGTGATATACAATATGGAGTTTCAGGTCGGCATCACTTTTCCCAGTACTTAAGTTTCGGAATTTTTTATTAATCATTTCCTGCGAAGATTTTGACATCACGAGAAAACATTCAAACTACCGAACGTTTCCCTATAACTAGATTTGCAGCTCAAAGAGAAGCCATATAATGATAAAATTGCTTGCTTGAATTAAAATTGGTGGAAGAATTACGAATTAGCAAGATTATTAATTTGGTTGAGCAATAATTAAGAATGAATTAACAAAATTTCTGAAAATAAGTTTACTGCTCTTGTGATAGAATAGAATAGAATAGAAGTGTCGGCGTTGAAGACATAGGCCCATGGCCTGTTGCCGATTCTTGAACTTTTCGTGACTTGATTCACAAGGGATCCGGCTTTTGGAACCCGATCTTTCCATAGCTGACGATTGATTGAGATAGCTGCTGTTTTTTTAGTTTATAGCCGTGGCCCCTGGTGTTGGTTCTTGTTTCAAATTCTAGTAATCCTTCTGGGACCTTGTATAAGCCATGAGTATATTTATATTTATAACCAGCCTCTGACCACCAATCGCCGGTAACCTCACTTAACGGTTCGTATTGACCATAGTTGTCTCACCCACCAATTACCGGATGCTGAATAGGTTAACAGCTGCCCAATTAGCTACGAAGCAATGCTTAAGGCGGGACGGGATTTATAAGTTATAACAAATGCAAGTTCAAGGTTTATTAACTAAGAAGTTTAACGAATAGCCTACTACGGAGCTAAGACGCGGAGGAGAGAGAGAGCGAGCTAACTGAGGGACAAAGCCCTTTATCCTAGAAGAGAAATAATCATAGTAAGTACACTGTTAATTAATACGCCTAATGACTACCCTGGCAATGGCTTTACATGACGCCAGATTAATTATTTACAATATAAGCCACCTATAAGTAAACACACACAAAGGCACAGTAACATTAACACGAAACACGGTAACGCATAACACAGTAACAGTATTCAACAGTAACGCAAAATACAGCTCACCTAGGCGACGGTCAGGTAATCCCCTGTAAGCGAGGCACCAACAAGCAAGCCGGAATTGACACGGCTACTATTACCAGCCTAGGCCCACATCAGCGCCGGTATACTTAATCTCTATGGTCTGAATACAAGTAGGGAATTTGCAGCCTACATACAACATTACAGATCTGCATAACTGTTAATTTTGGGTTGATATCAGATAAAATCTCTTCAACTTATTGCTACATTGGCGACATATAATTGTTCTTTTTTTTTCAAACCTCAATGTAAGTTTTTGTTTGAAAATTTGGCCATCATCAGCGGCGTACGGCGCTCAGCCTTCACATTTTAATCAATAAACGCCATTCAGTCACCGGTAGGCGCTTATTGGGGCAGCAATGTTGAAACTATATCTTGCTGTGAGACTCTACGCACGTTTTGCTTTAGTGACTTTAATGCATTGCATGAAGAGTTATATGCTCCCTCATTATAATTCATGGAACTAATGCACGAAATCTCAACCGTTCAAGAGTATGTATAAATATCATTATGTTCGTTTCAATTTTATAATAGATTTACTCGCATTAGAGGGCACGGATGATTAATGGACGATTTGACTGCTTAAAAATAATCCCAATCAGGTAACAAGTATAAGTGTAACCATGATGACTGTTCCGGTAACCCCTGAGTCTGGTTCGCTTACAATAACTTATTAATTTTTTCATTATGAAATGGAGACTTCGTTCAAACTATTGATTAGTATAAGATAGATTCACTACGGTGAAAAGAAAGCTCGTCGTCAGAGATAGGAGCAGTTATTACCTCAGTATTGAAAAATTCACTTAATAACTGCTGACCTGAATAATGCTTATGTTTGTAAAACATCATTGAGATGGCAGAAGTTAAGCCCACGCATGTGAAACAAATGCAAACTACGAGACTATTTATCAGTAGACCATGAGGCAGGCGTTGTGTGTTAAGTCTTCAGACTATTTATCAGTAGACCATGAGGCAGGCGTTGTGTGTTAAGTCTTCAGACTATTTATCAGCAGACCATGAGGCAGGCGTTGTGTGTTAAGTCTTCAGACTATTTATCAGCAGACCATGAGGCAGGCGTTGTGTGTTAAGTCTTCAGAGGCCAAGTGAGCTGAGATTGACAGGGTTGGTTTGCGGTGCAGTTGAGTACACAGCGACCCTACTTCGCCAGAGTGGAAAGTGTGCCCGGCTTGGTGCGGGCAGGCATTCTTGGTTTTGTGGTAAACTTGAGTGAAGTCAAAGATTTCTCGTGTGCAGGTGACAGCGTTGAGTCAACACGATGCACACTTGGTGGCGTAGCTCGAGAAAACCTCATCTTTAATGTCCAGCTCTTGACAGGCCTTCAGTCTTATGAAGACAATCGCTTCTGATGGAGAATTCTCTGGAAATTTATGCGCGGGTGAACCGCAAGGGGAAAATTCACACATAATATTCGAGGTGGCTGGTGCACTAGAGCACCACGGCGCTGTCACCGCAATCTCGCTTCTTTGTATAAAATAATGCTTGCGTGAACTCAATGTGAATGAAAGCAATTCACGACAATTATTCTATTTTGGAGAAACCTCATTAATTTTGTTAATTGCATGTATTGATGCCTTAAATTATTCAATAATTATTATTTTGGTTCAAATTTCACATCTCAATGAGTCACTTGACTTGATAATGAACCATTCCCTGTTTTTAATTAATAAAATAAATTCTTTTTTTTTTTTTTGGAATGGTGAGTGTGGGAGGTCTTTAAAAAATATATATATATATATATACACGTAATAGAAACGTTAATATGTTGCTAATGCCTTTCGGTAACCAACGCCAACGAAAAACATTGTTTAACATATTGAAAAAAATAATAAGAAAATTGTCAATAAAACTAATTCTCTTTTCTTCAATCAAACACGTTCAATAAAAATAAATTCTGTCACCCTATACTGATGACAGAATTTTATCACCTGTTAGATCAGACATTTTGAGTAGAATTAAAGTGCTTTCATGACTGGCAACTTAATTGCTATAGAAATTAAATAAATTTTAACGGTTTGTTTTAATTTATCAATCAATACCTAATTTTGACGATTAGATCAGAACGATAAATGGGCGTTAATTAAATTGTATAAGTACAGCTGCCGATTACCCGGTGTAACAAAACCACGCTGGATAAAAATTGATTAAACAGCTAATTATTTAAGTACTCCATGAGTCATCATTAAGCTATATTAAATTACCTAATTAGATTTACGAAGCACAAATGAATATAACTACTCATGTCCGCTTATGGAATTAAAACGTTAAATTTGGAAAATTAGAGTAAACTTCTTGTCAAGGATTGAGAACGAAATAATGGAACTAAATGAGGCTGCATATTTTAATCCTACACCAGCACTAAGGGGACAAAATATGAATTGAAAAGCATTCATTAATTAGTTAATAAAGGATTCTCTCCCTTATCATGGCTTCGGATGGAAAAGGAAACGATAAATTGCATGTTTGTTATTAAAAGAAAAACCTCCCGTCAGTCTCGGCATTGCTTTGTTTATTTTCGGTATCAAAATTGGGGACTCGTTACGGAAAATTCGTATCTCTGATTGCAATGAAACAAATTGATGTTCAAAACAAAATTGACAGTGCAATAAAACTGATGTTCAAATTGATTGCAATAAAACTATTGATATTCAAATAAAGGCCTTCACGTAAGGCTGCCTGAAGCCGTGGACAGACGACCACCGTTGCTGAGGCGGGCGCTGCGCCCCCAGCCGCGCTAATGGCGTCCATCACCGCCGCCCACCACGCAAATACCGGAAAGGATGCGGCACACCGCAGTGTCATGTCTAGGTGGGCTAGAGGCATGTCTAGGTGGGCTGTAGAGAGCATCCTTGACGATGCTGTAGCGATCGTCATGTCTAGGTGGGCTAGGGGCATGTCTAGGTGGGCTAGAGGCATGTCTAGGTGGGCTGTAGAGAGCATCCTTAACGATGCTGTGGCCATCGTCAGGTCTAGGTGGGCTAGGGGCATGTCTAGGTGGGCTAGAGTCGTGTCTAGGTGGGCTAGAGTCGTGTCTAAGTGGGCTAGAGGCATGGTTAGGTGGGCTAGAGGCATGTCTAGGTGGGCTGTAGATAGCATCCTTAACGATGTTGTGGCCATCGTCATGTCTAAGTGGGCTAGGGGCATGTCTAGGTGGGCTAGAGTCGTGTCTAGGTGGGCTAGGGTCATGTTTAGGTGGGTTATAGAGAGCATCCTTAACGATGCTGTAGCCATCGTTATGTCTAGGTGGGCTAGAGGCATGTCTAGGTGGGCTAGAGGCATGTCTAGGTGGGCCAGAGTCATGTCTAGGTGGGCTAGGGGCATGTCTAGGTTGGCTATAGAAGGCATCCTTAACGATGCTGTGGCCATCGTCATGTCTAGGTGGGCTAGGGTCATGTCTAGGTGGGCTAGTCATGTCTAGGTGGGCTAGAGTCATGTCTAGGTGGGTGGTGCGGTCGCCCCCGCCGGTGCCATTGAATTTAATTCATTTGCTAGTCTATCATTCCTATTAATTTGTTAGATTTGAGTGAGTTGACTCATGTGCGCGGCCTCATGAGTAGTTTATGTGTACTTGATGATGACGTGTTGCTAGTTACACAGCACATGTGTGTCATACATGTCACACATGTGTTATACATATGTGACTTATACCGTTCTGTATGTGCAGCGCTATCGAGAGTTACGGCAGCAAGAGTGGCAGGTTTGAGACGCTTGCCTTCTTCATGAGTAGTTTATGTATACATTATGATAACGTGTTGCTAGTTACACAGCACATGTGTGTTATAGATGTAATACATATGTGACTTATACCGTTCCGTATTCGCAGTGCCATCGAGAGTTACGGCAGCAAGAGCGGCAGGTTTGAGACGCTTGCCTTCTTCTCTGCGCTGCTCAACTTCGTGGTGATCTTAAGCGCGTCGTTCTTCATCGGGGTGATGATGGGCTGCCTCACCGCCATCATCACCAAGTTCACTAGACTCAGGGACTTCCCTCTGCTGGAGTCTGTCTTGTTTGTACTCATGTCATACTCCACCTTCCTCATGGCCGAGGCGTCCAACTTATCAGGTACATGGCCACCTTATTACCATGAGTAAAGTGTGTCAGGTGCTGTCGTGCTGGTGTGTCAGGTGCTGGTGTGTGTCAGGGGCTGTTGGGTCAGGTGCTGATGTGTGTCAGGCGTAGACTGCTATTGTCAGCCAATCATTTACTCTATGAATTTTGATATTTTATTTGCTAAAACTAAAGCTTTGAAGTTTTCCAGCGTCAATGAATAAATCGTAAAACCTGCCTCCATCGTGGTCTTCCTTGCCGATTGAGCTTGTTTTTGAATTTCATTGCTTTGTTTTAATATTCAATGCCTATCATTGCACATAACTACTAATACCTCACCACCGACAGGTATAGTGTCGGTGCTGTTCTGCGGCATCTGTCAGGCGCACTACACCTTCAACAACCTGTCCCCAGACTCCCGTCTCGCCACCAAGTCCCTCTTTGAGCTCCTCAACTTCCTCTCTGAGAACTTCATCTTCAGCTACATCGGCGTGTCCATGTTCACCTTCGAACATCATCTCTGGGAGCTGGACTTCATCGTGTTCTCCTTCATCGCCATCATCGTGGGACGCGCGTGCAACATCTACATCCTCTCCGGCATCATGAACATCAGGAGGAACCCGCGCATACCTGCCAGCTTCATGCATATGCTTGTGTTCTCTGGTGTGTTGTGTGTGTTTTTGTGTTGTGTGTGTGTGTGTGTTGTTTATTGTGTGTCTTGAGTGCTTTGTGTGTGTTGTTTGTTGTGTGCTGTGTGTGTCCTGCCAGCTTCATGCATATGCTTGTGTTCTCTGGTGTGTTGTGTGTTGTTTTTTGTATGCTGTGTGTTCTTTGTTGTGTGTCTTGTGTGTAGTTTGTTACATGCTTGTGTTCTCTGGTGTGTTGTGTGTTGTTTGTTGTGTGCTGTGTATGTCCTGCCAGCTTCATGCATATGTTTCTCTTCTCTGGTGTGTTGTGTGTTGTTTGTTGTGTGCTGTGTATGTCCTGCCAGCTTCATGCATATGGTTGTGTTTTCTGGTGTGTCTTGTGTGTTGTGTGTGTCATGTGTCCCGTGTGTTGTCATGTGTTCGGTGTCTTGACTTGCGTATCTTGCGTATTACAAACAATATACAGCCGTCGTTTTCAGTTTGTTTTCAGTGTTAAAATGTGTTATACATGTATTACTTTTTCCTTGTGTGCCATGAAATATTCATATCAGATCCTAAGTTATTTTGTATATATAGTAACATTTTCAACATCAACCACAAACATATCACCGTAGGCCTACTGTGACACTAACAGCCCCTCCCCCACCGCAGGCCTACGCGGGGCGATGGCGTTCGCGCTGGCGCTACGCAACGCCAGCACCGACGCGCGTAAAGCCATCATCACGACCACGTCCCTCATCGTCATCGTGACCGTCATCCTCGTGGGGGGCATGACGACGCAGATGATGACGTGGCTGGGCATNGTGTGTCAGGTGCTGGTGTGTCAGGTGCTTGTGTGTCAGGTGCTGGTGTGTGTCAGGTGCTGGTGTGTCAGGTGCTGGTGCATCTGATGCAGACAGTAATGGTCGGGTGGGAGAGGGCATGAATTAAGGGAGGGGGGCTCTACGGGAGAGCCTCCCAGCCGGGGGTATTTTAAATGTAACCCAGTGGGGGGCTGAGATTGACACATACGGGGGGCGTTATTGGCTGCTGGACCCCCGCGAGCCCGGACCCCCACCTGCTGCCCCCCCCTTCACAGTCTCATGTATACTTGACCATAAGACATTCAGTGTGATGAACTGCGCATGATGACAGTGTGATGAACTGTGCATGATGACAGTGTGATGAACTGCGCATGATGGCAGTGTGATGAACTGCGCATGATGGCAGTGTAATGAACTGCGCATGATGGCAGTGTGATGAACTGCGCATGATGGCTGTGTGATGAACTGCACATGATGATAGGGCGATTAACTGCGTACTCGACCGGACACTGCACGCTGTGCCGTACACCACGCACTCGACCGTACCCACACACACTAGGGATACACTGCAAACTCAGCCTGCATATTCTCCCCCTTCTTTGGTTGCCGTATGTCATAATTTCGGAGGTCTCACTTTCAAAGCTGGGAGCCAGTCGGGTTATCATCTTCCAAGTGTACAGTTCTCTCTTCTCCTTTCCAGTGAGTATAGTCCCAGTGAATATTTCCGCTAGAACCGCTGATTCTAGACGTGAATGTGCGCTGGACAGACTCCAGTTTCCGCGCCCGTCTTGAGCGGTGCCTAAAGCTGGCAGCAGTACTCAAGATTGGGGAGCACGAGGGCTCTGAAGAGTGTAATAATTGGTGCTGCTCCTCTCGTTCGAAATATCCACCCCACCCCAACCGTAGTCTGCGGCCTTGCGCATCTATTTCCTCGATGTGGTAATCGAACGTGGCTTCGGTATTTATCTACAATAAACTCGAACACGTGCTTCTCCTCAATTTCTGTGCCTTCCGATTCCGAGTAGCGATGTGCATCCCGGTCTCTCAGCCGACTCTTTGTCTCATAACTTGGAACTTGGTGCCGTTGAATTGACTATTCACTAGGGTGAAAACGTAGATTGTCAACAAGTTAAACTGTAACCTCTAGCAGTCTGGGTCCTCTGTAATCCTCATCTGCACTATTGTATCGTCCGCAAATGAGGACGTAGATGCGTGGGAAAGCTCCGAGTCAATGTCAACGATGTGGATAAAGAAGAGGATTTGTCCAAGCACCGAGCTCTGTGGCACTCCGCTTCTCGCCCTCGCTTCTCTCGATTTCAAGTTTCCAACCGCGACAGAATGTACTCTATTTGTAAAGAAGTTGCGTGTCCACCTTAACAGGCTTCTTCCTACCCCCAACAATCTCAGTTTTCTGAGGAGCACCCCATATTCAACTTTGTCAAAAGCTTTAGCAAAATCCAGGTATACTACGTCCACGCAATCTCCCTCCTTCAGTAGGGCCACAATGCGGCGATGGTGCTCCAATAACTAACCATGTTGTCCATTAATATATGGTACAGCCTCTTCCATTTACTGGGCAAGCCTCCTGGCCACTACCTTCTCAAAAACCTTGATCATCTGTGAGTTCAAGGTCACATGTCTGTAATTTTAGGGTCTGTCCTTCGGACCTTCTCTGTGGATTGTCGTTATAAGTCCCACTTTGAGGCCCTCAGTAATGATTCCCTTCATATTAGCGAGGCTTTCCAGAGCATTATGAGCGGAGAACTCAGTGTTGCAACTCACTTCTTCAAAAACACTGCTGGAATTCAGTCGGTTCATGGTGTTGAAAACGTCGCCAGTCCTTTGATACACATTTCCATATCTTCAGGTCCGAACTCAAGGTTCTCCTACCCCCTTCCGTCTCGCAGCTCCTGTCAAACTTCTATTTCATTCCTATGTCTTGAGTAGCGGGGGTTACTGAACACGGATTCAAACTGCGATCCCAGTAGCTCGCACATGCCCCTTTCATCTTCGACATGGGCGTCGTTATCCTTCAGAGGGCCCACTGGTGTCTTTATTTTAGCCCTGGACAGAGCGGATTTAAAGAAATACTTGGGGGTTCTCTCTGATGATCTCAACTACTCGTTCCTCGGCAGCTAACTTTTTCGTCCTGTGAGAGTCCAGCAAACTGCGTTCGGTTTCCTCATGGAGCACTTTTTCCTCAGATCACAAGTGGATTTAGCTTTTGTTTATACTTTATACAATGGTGTGCGTTTCGTTTTCTCATTAGGATTTGTCGGCTTCCCGGAAATCCGCGGAATTTAGGGCCCGTTTTTTTTCAGGGTATGACTCACACACACCTGTGCTAGTTTCTCACATAGTCTTGTGTAAATTTCCTTTTAATTCCTCTCATGAAACTCCACTCTCCAATCAGTTTCCAGTGGTCGGACAACCCGATTGCCAACCACTATTTTTTCATTATTAGTAAAGAAGCGATCGAGGAAATTGTGATCCCTTCTTGGTAACCATACTTGCTGACTGAGAATTTGTTCCGCAGCAAACTTGACTAGTTGGCTTATTGACTTCTGTCGTGGTCACAACCCCCCAAGCCGCTCAGGCTTGTCCAACGGATACGAGGGAGATTGAAATCCCCACCCATTATCAGGCTGGGGCTAGATCACACAGTCCAGCAACCCTGGTCCGGTGGGCAGGTAGGCGGCCTATGGACTATGCCTACGCAGAGGTCGAGTTTATACAAGTGAATTAGTACGTGTTCAACAAAGCCATCAGAGTTACGAGATTCCAATACAATTCCACCGTGCTTTTTTGCGAGGGAGTTCCTAACGTATACAATAAGTCCCCCCTTCTTCTTCTCTTCCATTTGGTATGCACGATGATGTTGGAATCTTTCAATTGCAATTTCTATATCAAAATGTCTTTTCTTATGTTCGACGCCGTTAGTGCAATCACAAAGGTTCCACACTCGAAGGCCATCTTCCTCAGCACGCCGGTCGTGTGGCGCGCTCATTGTGGGGAGAGCCCCTCGGCCATTTGTCGAAGGACGATAAATTTTGGAACAGAACTATGCTATCTGAAACCTAACCTCAGATGCGGTGAACGTAAAATTAGGTAATTTAACGATGCCCGGAAGTCGGATTCGATCCGCGGCCTGGTGGTGCACGTCAGGTTCTATGCGAGGCCGGAGGAAGACAAAGCCGAATGGTTCACAGCTGATTGGTGGATGTCCGGAGAGATCCAAGGCGTTCGATTCAGGGCTTATTGGTGCACAAAATTGGTGGTGCACGACTGCGCTCCCCGGCCGTACACTGTACACTCGGACATCAACCGGCTGGTGATTGCGGCAGTATATGCATTTATCCTCCCATGTTTCTGCTGCACCTACTGAATTTCTAACTTCTAACCCACTGAATGAAACTTGATGATTGACGATCTACTTATCTCTGAGAATACAATATCATGTTAGAATTTATAATTTATATTAATCCATTGCTTTATGCTAGACAAGATTTACTTGGTGCACAATTTCTAACACTCTTGCAAGTATGGTTGTTAAGTCTCATGCGCTATAGCATTATATAAATTGAAGCTCTGAATGTTCAAGCGTTTGCATAGTTTCTTAATCTCACCAATAATTTGTTGATTTAATTTTTTGTATAGTGTAAAAAATTCATTAAAAATTGTAAAAGAAATATTCAATTCGTGCCGCCTTAGTTTATTGAAAAATGGAAAGCTTGTCTTATCGTTTTGTCCAATAAAAAGATGGAGACGGCACAAGCGCTTTAGTTGTGTCGTCTTCAAGCTCGGCAAAAATTTACTGAAAGCTGAATTCTTGCAAAGAGTTTGCAATTATTTCCGTTGTTTGATACCTAAATCTTACGTCGCCATTCTATTGTTGCGATAAAGGATTCAGCCAATTGCCCATGTAAGTTAATTCGATTTTAATTGATGAAAACTCTGTGAATTTTTTTATTTTTTGGCGTTGATAAGTTTGAGGCAAGTCATTAACATTCAAAACTGAAAGAAACGACAAGAAAACGACTCGAACAGAAACTTCCTGGGGTCTTTAGCATCACAAATCTTACGGTACAGATCAAAGTATTAATGTCACTTGTATGCTTGAATTGCATTTTAACTACAAATTTAAAAGCAAATAAAATTTCACAAAACTTCATCAAATCTATATTGAAAAAGTTTCGGAGTCTAGCTCCATCGTCATTTCGAAGATTCTAGAATGCATATAAAGTCACAAATTAGGACAATTATTGGAATTTAAGGAAGCGAAATTAAAATCTAAATTTACAAATAAAAGACAGCACAATGAAGAAAAACAGCAAGATCTATCTATTCACAATCTCTAGGAGATATGAGATAAACGCTGAATTCAAACTTGACCTAAGTTAAAAATGTACTAAGATTTTAAAATACGCAGATCTGAAATAACACCTCAAAGTCACTGTCAGAAACAGGAACATTACAATGCTCGGCGAACACTACTTCTACTCTCAATCATCTTTAATTTATAGGCAACTTGCAAAGCTTAGCCTACCGTCATTTTTATGTCTTCAAGCCTAAATATTTTCTCTTCTGTATTTTGAAAGGCACCTTATTGAAAGGCCTAGCCAGAAATAATGACCTTAATTATTTGTTAACCTATTAATTAAGGGCAAGGGCGTTGTGTTGGTGGACCGTAGTCGCTACAACAGTAGCCTAAATGCAATCCTCTCCGATCCTTCCAAATTTGTTGAAACGATAGATCAGATCTCTAAAACTATTTTGAAAATCGAAAAAGAAATCAATAACTTCATGCCTAAACTTGAAGATTCTTCTGCTTTTTCATTTGAAACTAATACTAAACTTCATACCTTTGGTTCTTGCCATGGTATTCTATGTGGCTTACCTAAAATTCAGAAGTCTGATTTTGGCCTCAAAGTTTCAATTTCGATCAACTTTTGCCGAGTACAATGCTCCTAATTCTAAACTTTCTGAGTTTTTGGTGACTGTTTTGAAACTGTCGAACGACCAACCAGCATACTGTTGATAATTCATACACGTTTGTTCATCGCTTGAAGGATTTTACAAACATTCAGGACTTGACTTATGACCTGGGAAATTTGTTTACTAATATACCTCTTTGTGAAACAATTGACATTTGCCTCGATTCTCTGTTTAAAGAAATTCATTATCTTGTTATTGGTTTAAACCGTAATTTTTCAACATCTCTTTTTGAAATGATAATCTCTTTTGAAGTTCTTAACTCGTTTTTCATATTTGCTGGAAAATTTTACAGACAGATTGAAGGTTTAGGCATGGCTCCTCCGCTCGGCCCAACCTTTGGGAATATTGTTATGTGGTTTCAAAAGGTTTCTCGGGTGGCCAATTGTTCTCTTGATTTTAAACCAATATTCTATAACAGATATGTCGATGACACCTTTCTAATTTTCAAACATCCCTCTCATGTCATACCATGTTTTGATTACCTAAACTCACAACATAATTTCATCAAATTTACCATGGCGCTTGAATCTAACAATAGTTTGTACTTCCTCGATTGTAATTTTACTAAATCTAATGGCCGTTTTCATTCTTCCGTGTTCCGAAAGCCAACATTCACCGGCCTAAGTACGAGCTTTTTTAGCTTTTGTTCATGCGGATTCAAATTGAATGGGCTTCAAATATTATAATACCGATTCTTTCGTATATGTTCTATATACCAGTATATGCAAGCTGAATTTGAATTTTTGCGCAATATTTTCTCGCTTAATGAATATCCGGCAAGTCTAGTGTTTACCCAAATCAAGAAATTCATTTCAAAGCAATACAGGGAGATTGCTCTCGTACGCGATAGCATAGGAACGTTGTGTATTGTTATTTTCGATATTTCGGCCCTGCGTCCGAACCTATGCCAAGAGAATTAAAAGTCTTGTTTAATAAAAACTTGTCAAACCCAGATACCCAAAATTTAAGATTGGCCCAGATTTCAATCTTGATGTTGTGTTGGTAAACAATTTCAAAATCGGTTCTTTCTTTAGACATTAAGATATGCTCCCTGTTCAAATGCGATCGTCACTAGTTTAAAAATATTGTTGTGCACGATGTGCATCTACCTACGCTAGGATGACGCCACGCAATCTTTATGCTAGGGTCGAAGAGCATATGGGCAAGAGTTATAGGACTGGGCCCATACTTTCAAAAAAGTTAAGAGATCGTAACTTCATCAGCCTATCATTGACAGCCTTTCAAGCAAAATCCACCAATCATAGACAAGAAAATAGAGCGCAAGTACTTACGTTAACTTAGCGAGTTTTGAAAGTATGACCCCAGGACAGCTGCTATCGCGCCCTCTTAATTCCTCTATGCGCACTTACGCCGAGCAGTGTGATGTTCCTGTATCTGACAATGACTTTAAGGTGTTAGCTTCTACTTCCAGTACCTCAGATCTACGTATTTTAGAGTCCTTGTACATTTTTAAACTTTGGTCAAGTTTTAATTCTGCTTTTAGCTCATATCCCCTTGAGATTGTGAATAGATAGATTTCGCTGTTTCTTTTTTCTTGTGCTATCTCTTATACTTGTAAATTTAGATTTTAATTTCGATTCCGGGACTTTCAGTTGTACTAAATTGTGGCTTTATATGCATTCTAGAATCTTTGAACTGACGATGGAGCTGGACTCCGAATCGTTTTCTATATAGACATGATGAATTTATGTGGAATTTATTTGCTTTTAAATTTCTGGTACAGATCAAATTACGTGACAGCGAAGTCCATTAAATCCCTGCCTCTTCTACACAAGCCACTGCTGAGTTTGGTATCACTTTGACGATTTATATTGAGGTTGCAACCTGCGAGTAGACAAGAGAGTCGCCCGCGCGGCACAGATAATCCTGACATAATTTAGATCACAGCGCGCCTTGGGTGCCCCGTCGAGCTGACCAGCCGCGCGCGAGTGTCTCGACGAGCTGACAGCCGTCAACCAGCGTGCGCGAGTGTCTCGACGAGCTGACCAGCCGTCACCCGGCGTGCGCGAGTGTCTCGACGAGCTGACCAGCCGTCACCCGGCGTGCGCGAGTGTCTCGACGAGCTGACCAGCCGTCACCCGGCGTGAGCGAGTGTCTCGACGAGCTGACCAGCCGTCACCCGGCGTGCGCGAGTGTCTCGACGAGCTGACCAGCCGTCACCCGGCGTGCGCGAGTGTCTCGACGAGCTGACCAGCCGTCACCCGGCGTGCGCGACAGCTGAGCTGAGTCTTCCAGCTGCCATGAATATTTTCCCTTAACGCAAATAATACAAAACACTAATGAGCTAAGCCCAATATCTGGTTACATCAGAATAGTAAAAATTCAGGGCTGGTTTACAACAATAAAAAATCGAAGCAGGGTGGAGTGGGGCGAGATCAAGCTCATTTTTAATTCGTTTTATACGTTAATCCACTTGTTCTTATTGCTTTTTAGCTATCCCTAACTGTTCTTTAAGGTCAACACCTAAGCTGCTAAAATTTCTTGACGCACCTGAATTTATATTTTGAAGCGTTGCAGATTAAGATAAGCAGAAAAGAGTTTTTCTTTTCCTAAAAGCCATCTCTTCTTGCATTTGAATTGACAGACCGTCAGTTAAAGCATGGTACTTCCGTTTACGAGCGAGAAAAAAAAGGTTACATGTTTTTAGAAATAAATTTACGTCATCATTATCAAATCGTTATTTAATGTATTATTACTTCCGAGAAGAAGCCGTACTCAACCATCTTCTTATGTACTGTATATATAGTGGCTAACATCTGCATCAAAGTCATCTATACAAAAGGTCATATTAAGTCATTAAAAATGTTCAATTTCCATTAAAATTTAGCACATTATACGGTTGGAGCTCGGAAAGTATGTTGCTTTAGGGTTCTATCCTCAGGTGTCAACAAATGTAGTTCGTTTTCACACATACGTAGTGTTTCAAAAATCAAAATACGTGTAAAAACATGAACATGAGCTGAATTTATTGATGACTGTCCGAGCTAGTAAATATCATAGCATAGTGATGTCGGCGCTGAAGAATGGGCCTGATGTGGCCTGTCGCAGATTCTTGTACTTTTCGTGACAGGAGATCTGAAAACATGTCCTTCGATCGGATCTTTTCTAAACCGATGATAGTTTGAAATAGCTACTAGACTTCCAGCGGGTTCGATATGGTGCTAGGCATTTCAAGTCTGAACGCACATTTTTCCATAGCTATATCTAGTCTTTTCTTGAACGCGTTCATACTTGGAGCGCCGACGATGTCATCGGGGAGGCTGTATAAGTATAGGTAAAGGGTTCGTTTATGGATTTAGATGGCAGAAAATTCAGGGGTCTTGGTCCTAAAATGAGAAAACGATTCTACATAAGTTAGTCTGATTTAAATGTCGAGGTCGGATTTTTTTAATTAATAAGTTATAACGCTGCAGAATTGCCTGCAATACAAATCAAGATTTTGATAGCCGTGAGAGCTAACTACTTCCGTCTTACAAATGATCAGTTGGACGCTAAGCCTAATATTGACGTCATCAAGAATGTTATAGAAGACACTTCAACTCTTCTGTTTGGGAGTGCATAACTGTTTTGCAAGTTCCATATACTCCATTTAAGAAGCAATATTTTCATCAACTATGCAGTTCTGTTTTTAACGTACCCTATCACACTTCAACCTAATTTTTTCAAATGAAGTCTGTTCAAGTCTCTGCAGGCTCAAACTGTGACAGAAAAAAAATCAACACAGTTATTACGGCGGCGTTCGCATATACGGAGGCGCCGGAGAGCAGGTTGCAGCTTGACGAGCTTTGCTGAAAAAACATGTCGCGCGGTGCTGGTTGGCGTCAGGTTTCAGAGGAGCTATAAGAAATCCTGGATGTCTGATAAATATGCACAAATTAATTGAATTTAAATCATGAACGTCTCATATTTAGGTTATTGAAGGCAGCGGAGCCGGAGGTTTGTGTTAGCATTGATGCTCGGTCCGGTTAATAATTGAGCGGTCCCGGAAAGCAAACTGCAGGAGCGGTCCTCTCAAGCGGACTGCAGGAGCGGTCCCGGCAAGCGGACTGCAGGAGCGGTCCTCTCAAGCGGACTGCAGGAGCGGTCCTCTCAAGCGGACTGCAGGAGCGGTCCTGGCAAGCGGACTGTAGGAGCGGTCCCGGCAAGGAACTGCAGGAGCGGTCCCTGCAAGCAAACTGCAGGAGCGGTCCCGGCAAGCAAACTGCAGGAGCGGTCCCTGCAAGCAAGCTGCAGTAGCGGTCCCGGCAAGGAACTGCAGGAGCGGTCCCTGCAAGCAAACTGCAGGAGCGGTCCCGGCAAGGAACTGCAGGAGCGGTCCTGGCGAGAGAACTGCAGGAGCGGTCCCGGCAAGAGAACTGCAGGAGCGGTCCCGGCAAGGAACTGCAGGAGCGGTCCCGGCAAGGAACTGCAGGTTGCTGCGTCATGAAGCCCAAATAATGTGGATGTCGGTAACTTGAACATTTACATTAGAGCTCCAATGATTAGTCATAAATTTCAAGTAAATAAGAGGTATACCGCACTGGAGTGTACGCGTTGGTAAACAATTGAATGTGTTTTGGAAAGAGAAAATTGAATCTCCATAAAACAAACATTTTTTGTAAGTAAAGGTTTCAAAACGGAAATAGATTGGCAATTTTGAGGAATGTATGCGTTTAGTTAATTTATACAAAACTAGCGAAAACCTATTTACAAGCAAACATTCATGAAAATTAGCGGCTTTCTTTCAGTTTTACAACTTTAAAATCGGTGTACGTTTCAAAGCAATAAGAAAGTCGTTCGTAAGGACATGAGGCTGCCCGAACCGAAACCTGCTATGAAGTGCATGAACTTCTCCGATAAACAAATAAAAACAATCAGTATCTTCTTCGTGCTCTGTGGTAGTGGGTTTGTGATTTTAATCTAATTTATCTGAGTTTAATTCGACAAATAGATAAATAACGCATGATTTAACAATATTTGGAAAAAATAGCTCTAACTGCAGCAATTAATAGCTATAATTTAAGCTTTAACTTCAGCAATAAATTTTCAAGACTTACGAATGTGATACAGTCACGTATTAAACTTTAAATTTAACTCTACCTTACTAAGTCCGTGAAATACAAGTCGTCTCACCTTAGCAAACATAGCTCACCAGGTCCACGAAACGACAGGTGGTTCAAATGCGACCAACTTAGGTAAAAATTTGCATGAAAGAGCTATAGAAATGGGACAATTGTCACCTGTAGAGCACGTACAGCAAACTGTCACCAGCAGTTGCACTCTAATTGCCTGCCTGCAGCGCTGCCGCCCCCGAGCCTCGCGCGGCTGTTGGTGCGGCCGAGACTTCGGCGCCGTAATTGTCGGGGTCAGCCGCCACCGCCGCCACCGCCACCACCGCCGCTATTTTAAAAGTCATTAGTAAATAACCGCCGGCCCATCGCCAATCATCCGCCGGGTTGTGTTGTGGGTGGGGGATTCACGGGTGCCGTGTTCTTGGCCGGTCATAACATACTTACATGTTTTCCTAAGGAATTATTATTTAAAGGTACACCATAAAAAGCGCATGAAGGCACTCTCAATTATTTGGCTGTTTTATAACTTCCTGTGCTTTTGATCCAGAACACAGAGCCAGTTCATGGTAGCACAATGAAAAAACTTATCTCTGCAAACAAATATGTAGATCGTGTTATATTTCTAAATAATAATGGGTGCAATTGTGTGATGATTATGAACGTATTGGTATTGCTGGAAATGAAACTGCAGCTTTCCGTACAACCGCGCTGGTATCACAGCCAAGGCTTAAACCTGTCACTAGGTCGTGGAAGAACGCGTGATGCTGTCGTGTTTAAAGTGGGAGAATGGAGAATTAATAATTTAATAATCAGTAATAATAATTAAGGCCATGAGAATTAGATTGCTGTCAATAGCTCTAACAGATCCTATATTATTCGATCAATCTGTTTCCTATTTGCATTGTATGTAACAGATCTTTGAGCAATTTTCAACTAATGCTAACCGACCTAGCATATATCAGAGTAGTTAGCTTTAAAATTAATTTATTTAATTTCGATTTGATAATACATACTTTTTTCTCGATTGCTATGTAAATTAAATTACCGACACTATTGATTTAAAAGCTGTCATATACCACCATGTGATGAAACCTGTTTTCAGCTTAGCAGTGCTCCTCCCACTTTAATTTGAAAATTAAAAATTTTCTCTCCTGGTTGCGCCCATATGCACTGCACGTACTGTGAGCCCAAACCATCGTTTACAGCTTTAACCAGCAGTCATTGACTGCTCTGTCTTACAGTACAATACTGCCTCCGACCCTCATCAATAAGTCAAATATCCATGTGAACTGAAAAGCTTTTTCTATTGCTATTCGGTTCGAATTTTGTATACACTCGCATTAATATGTTTCTAATACATTTGAAAGCCCCTTACTCGTTCCTAACTTTATTGCCAGCTGTAATTGCCCGTATTGTTTCAGAACTGAAGTTGGGAATCTCGTCTTACCTTCAAATTCATACAGCAAGTTTAAAAGTTGAAACGCTTAAGAAATCGTGAAAATAAAATGAGACGTGCATAAAAAAAACAGACCGGAAGCGAGGCAGATTTGTATCTTGATTGCCTAATTGTATAAGAAATTGCGCCTACTCTGAGCTGGGATTACGTAATCGTACCACAAATGAATTAAATTTCACGCAATTCATTTTGTCCTGAACCACCACAAAAATATTGGGCACAGAAGCATTAGGTGTTTGCTTGCACAATATAACCTATAATGTCTATTCTGGAAGTGCTTGGTAGTCCGGACAACTATGAAGAACACCGTGAACTCTGTCTGCCTTTATACCTTTCAAAGCAGCGACGTTGATAAAGAAAACAATGCTGCTGTTAATTCCTGTAATACCTCATGATTGCAACGCTAAAAATCAGAGGAAAAAGGTAATATCTCGACACAATGTGTATTAGGGATACCCGCCCGAAATATCCCTTTCTACGCATGGTGCCGTTTTTTAGTTGCACTGCCTTTTACAGGTACACAGATACATGCGTTTATTTGAAAACAATAAGGTAGTTTGTTTGCGCTAAATGGGATCCAAATAATTTTCAAATAAATAATCGAGCGAAGCTTATAACCGAAATGCCTTAATTTCATCTCCCTGGGGGGAGGGGCTTGGCTTGTGGAGTCTCACGGACGCGGTGGCGCTGCCTCCCTAGAGGTCTGCCGACGCTCGATTATTCAGTAGGATAGGTTCCTTGTGGTGCGGGATTGCTGCGGGCTCTGCTGCAAATAATAGGGTTTATGCCTGATTTTACTGAAATAACGCACAATTTGAAGCATCTGGCAGTAATCTTATGTGGCTTAATACTTGCGATAAGAATAACCTGCACATGAAGGTCTCTATTGTTTGGAACTTTTCACCGCCGTCAATTTCTGTTAAGAAAGACGTGCACGCAAGATTTAAGCAGCAATAGAAATGTGTCGAGTAGATCAAGCGGTCTTATTTCACATGCATATGTAAATATGCGCTTCACTGTAAGTGTACTTTTGATTTGTTTTTTTTTTGGTGTCATTTGTAGTAGTCTTTTAAATAGTTCTGGGAGTAAATTTTAATTATGAATGAGAAAACACATAACCTGGTATAAAAGTATGAAAATGCCAGTCACTGTCGGCATTGGAGAACGGAACACTTCAGTTTGTTTAGCTCTTGTTGACCTTCACTTCATGTTTAATCCCGTTACTGAACTGCACCCCGACACCTTGGATGTTGATCACAATATGGAAGAGTCAAAAAGCTTAAAAAAATATCGAAGCCATGAAGGCCTTCAAGTTGACCCTCAACTTTCACGAGACATTTCAGGCTGCCAAAGTTCATCGCAGAACTTGATAACTGAGATGCTCATATGTTAGCTCAGGAATTGTTTCAATTTTTTTGCTGGGATGCTCTCACGTACGCAGAGGAATGATTTAATTTTGTGCCTGGGATGCTCTCACGTATGCAGAGGAATGATTTAATTTTGTGCCTGGGATGCTCTCACGTACACAGAGGAATGATTTAATTTTGAATGGGCATAGAGCCACAAAATCTCGGGTCTTTCATCCGATATTTTCAATCACCATCGCATATCATTGAAAAGATGGCGTCAATAATTGTTTTGTTTGACAAACATATGAATGATTCCTAAACCTGAGAGAATTTTATCTCGAATATCAACGAGTTCTAATCCTATTAATAAGCGAGACTTGTTGTTCCCTGGACTTTAATTAGTTCTATTTATGCGTGAAATATCATACTTATGAGGATAAGTTTCTGAATAAAAACATTTTTTCTGACAACTATGAAGCTGGCTGTCAGTTTCTGGCTCTGTGCAACAAATGCCTTCAATTATATAACAACTTTAATTGACCCAAATAGCCGCTTCTGCAGTTGAGAGGAATGGGAATTCGTCTTGGACGTGCCAGACACTGAAACGTTACCCAGATCACACGGCCTGCATTTGCGAGCAATTCACAATGAAGTAATTCTTTGTTCCTGTTGCTGCGAAGGCCTCTTTTTTTTTATCAGCCGCAGCGGACTCATCGTCTTGTCCGTGCCATTAGAGGCGACCATGTTTCCGCAAGCATCGCCCCCTGAGGGGTCGTGTAGCCGCCGGCTGGGCGCATAACAGCGGCCGCCCCCCTGCGCTAACTGCTCGCCTGGCGCTACCAACCCTGATCGCCAGCCTGCCGTGCTGCGCTGCTACTGCCGTGCTGCGCTGCTGCTGCTGTGCTATCGTGATGTGCTGCTGCTGCCGTGCTGTGCTGCTGCTGCCGTGCTGTGCTGCTGCTGACGTGATGTGTTGCTGCTGCCGTGCTGTGCTGCTGCTGCCGTGAAGTGTTGCTGCTGCCGTGATTCGCTTCTCTGAATGCCAAGTGAGAGTAGGAAATGATAATATTAGCAGAAGATGAATAAGATTATGCACGCCTAAGCTTGAGGCCGGGTCAGCCTTGGGAATTTTTACGGTCCAGTCATCGTCAGGTCCCGCAATTGTCGGATCCTCGTCAGACGAGCAAACTTCGTGGGTCAGAACTCCCCTAATCTCCGGTTATCGCCCCAGCCGCGACCGCACTACATAAGCTGGGCCTACTTTCAAAACTCACTTTCAAAAGTGAACGTAAGTACCCACGCTCTATTTTCTTGCCTGTGCATGGTGGATTTTGCTCTAAAGGCCGTCAATAATTGGCTGACGAATTTACGATCTCTTACCTTTTTTTGAAAGTCTTATCGAACCCTTGTGTCTTATCGAACCCTTAAGTTTCCATCTGTGGGAGCGGTCTTGACGCTTACTAAACACGATTATCACTCCCTAAGTGACAAACACAATATTTTGTTGGTATGCCAAATATTGTCGGAAACCAATTACGTTTTGAAGATGGTCGAATGTATCAACGTACGT